GTTCTCACTCCTTTCACCTTTTCACCTTTTTCTTTTTGCTACCCTCGAAATCGTCATCCTCATCATCCGCCCTCTTCTTCAGTTTCACCTTTCCGTTACTCGATACAGCGACAGGAGTCTTTTTCTTATTGGCAGGAGGTGGACTCCTCTGCGTCAGCGCACCCATTCCAGGGCCCCCTTTCCTCATCTGCTCTGCTCGTTTCTGCTTCCTCGAAAGCGCGACTTTCGCATCCTCCTGGCTGAGAAGGCCATGCTCCATCATCCTGGAAATCCCCGCCAGGGCCAAAAACAAAATGTCAGAAGAGAATGAAGCATATGCATCATCATTCACACAGCTTCAGAAACCCAGCCCACAATACATGTAGAACCAACTCCCATCCCTTCCTCTGCCCCGTTCACTATCAAGACAGAGAAAGTTCACAGCAGGAAAGAGACGAGATCCTAAATCCTATATCATCAAAGCAACAGAAATCTTCAAACCCGACTACACACCAGCATTGCCAACCCGCAAAAGGACTCATGATATAGTTGCTTTGGTCGAAACCATGCCCTTTTCCTCGACTCCTTTTGCGGAAAAGGTCATGGTTTCTACCAATCACAGCCAAGCAATCCAAATCTCCTACAGTCGGAGGGCCCTGCGAAGGACGGGGCGAAAAAGGGCACGATAGCCACCTATCGCAGCCAAAATCCCGAGATGGCCACAATCAGATTTTTTGTACATGCAGGATTGCACCAAAAAGACACAGATGCCAGTACCACTGCTAGAACTCGAAAATTCCAACTGCCAAAATATGCTGCAATTTCTACGCATAGAAGTACATCATGTGCGCGGATCTACAGGCGCACAGAGCAGCTTGTAATGAAGAAAAAATCAATTGCCAATTTGCCACTCGTCACAGCCAGAATTGCGAAACTGCCCTTTCGAATTCATCTGTGAACATAAGCAGGAAAACACGGCCATGATATTTACCAAGACGTCGAGTAAAGCAGGTACCAAGGCATGTGAACCACAGAGAGAGAGAGAGAGAGAGAGAGAGAGAGAGAGAGAGAGAGAGAGAGAGAGAGAGAGAGAGAGAGAGCATAGGCAGTTCTCACCCACCAAGACCTCCAAAGCATAGGGTAAGCAGCGGATCAAGCTGAATTTTATACATCCACTAATCTTCCAAAGCATAGGCATTTTCACCCACCAGACAGAGAGAGAGAGAGAGAGAGAGAGAGAAAGAGAGAGAGAGAGAGAGAGAGAGAGAGAGAGAGAGAGAGAGAGNGAGAGAGAGAGAGAGAGAGAGAGAGAGAGAAAGAGAGAGAGAGAGAGAGAGAGAGAGAGAGAGAGAGAGAGAGAGAGAGAGAGGGAGAGAGGGAGGGAGAGAGAGAGAAAAAAAGAGAGACTGAGAGACAGCATAAGCACTTCTCACCCACCAAATCCTCAGAAGTAAGGCGTTATCAATGGATCATAGTGACTTTCGTGAACGGTATGAATGATGGTAACATCACCCGTCGCCATCCCTGTGGCCATACTTCTGCCATCTTTCATGACCCTCTGATTTCTACTCCACACAAAAACTGGGTTTGATTGAATGCATGCAAGCAGTATGCAGGACATCAGAGATGTAAAGGGGGAGTATTTACTATTTACAGACTTTCCTTTCATCGTTCGTTCAGATAAACCTTCTGAGGCTCCTTTTCCCATCAGTATTTCTGCCACACACCGAAAGAAAAGAGAGCCGAACCGGCATGACGAAACTGTGTTTCTTAGACTTTATTTGCCTAGTGCCACCAGCCATTTCTCCAGTAGAGCCGACCCACATGTTTTGCAGAGGGTACCCGCCGCGTCAGAACCAAAATAGCTGCAAAGCGGGCCGGTGGCTTAAATAAAAAAAAGGAATAATAACTGCTGAAAATTTTAGGAATTCCAAAAAACAAAAAAACAAAAAAAAACAAAAAGAAAGAAAAAAAAAATAGTAATACAGTAATCATGACAGTACACAGTACGTTGAGTAATCATGACAGTACGTTGGCAGCGATCAAAAGAAAGACGCTTACCATACTTCTGCCATCTCACTGTCAGGTCGCTGCTGATACAGTGTCTCATAGAATATCCGCAACGGGTCCCGCTGCATGCCACACACAAGGGAAAACCAAGAACATCATCAAATGTAAGCGTGGTGATTGCCCTTTACCAAAACATAGCATGTCAGCAGTAACAGAGGGAGGGGCATACAGTTTTCGCTTGCGAAGGACTTGACCACGCAAAAAATAGTACACCAGTTTTACGCCTGGTCGCTCTGCAGGGTCGCTGCAGGGAAAAGGACCTGGTCTACCGTCTCCCCCGAGAAGAACGTATGGTCATTATAGCTGTATGTGGGCACTTCCAGTGTAGATACAGCAAAACAATCACCGTACCATCTACTCGGGAAAAGACGGAAGGATGACAGGAGCTGTTTACCAGCCACATGACCTGCCTGGTTTCCCCCAGTTTACCCTGGTTTACCTTACTTTACCCTGGTTTACCCTGGTTTACCAGGTTTACCAGGTTTACCTTACTTTACCCTGGTTTACCCTGGTTTACCAGGTTTACCAGGTTTACCTTACTTTACCCTGGTTTACCCTGGTTTACCCTGGTTAACCAGGTTTCCCTTACTTTCTCCTGGTTTACCCTGGTTTACCCTGGTTTACGATGATCTCGGATGGGGCAGAGCTGATTTAGCTCGGAGCACCGGGATCACCTATCACAAAGTGGTTTGGCCTATGACAAACAAACCTGGTTGGTTATGCACAAAGACCTGCAGACTGCATAAACCTACGTGGACTGGGTTTTACGCTTCGAAGACTCCGGCCCAAATGTAAAGCGGGCTGATTTTAATCATGCAGGACATGATTTAGTTTGAGAGGCTAGTTCTAGGCACGTGCTAGATGGCTAAATGAGCACTAGCATAGTCACAACCACCATGGTCACCAGGAAGTGAAAAAAAAAAAAAAAAAAAAAGATAGATTCTTTTAAAATCTTTTTTTCTTTTTTTTTTTGAAGGTGTGGCCCTCTTTCTTTCATTTGCTCTGGTGGATTGATGATTCTACAGCGATGACTTTTCGTTTCTGTCTATAGGGGCTGACATCGGTGGGCTGATCTCCTAGAGGATGTAGTGGTGGTTTAGCCCTCGGAGAGCCTGGGTTAGTCTGGGACAAGCAGATGTCGGACTAGGAGGCGCCCATTTAACGCAGAACAAGAAGTCGCGCTCAATCTAGAGGGACCCTGGTACCAAAATGTCATCCTAAGTCGTACAGCATAACCGCAGACCATGGTTACCCCGGACCCGGACCCTGACAGAGCATGATATCCGGCCGGACCTGCG